TTCTCAACACGCCACTCAAATTTTCATTTCTCTGGATATTTAATTTGTTTCAAGAACAAGGTGTAGTTGATTGCTCTTGATGTTGCTCCTCACCGAAGTGATGTACAGATTTGTTATGATAGTGTCTAGCTTATTCCTAACTTCTGGCAGTATACGAGCATGCACAGGAGTAAGTGGCTGTCCGATAGTGGGGTTTTAAACATTCTTCCTGCCATTTCTTCCATCATCAATGTCTTTCCACTGTGTATATCCATGATAAGTTTCTCTATTTTTTGGTGCCAATTACCAAACTAGCTTTGTATTAATATAGATATAGGCTACTAAGCTTTGAGTAGATAATAGTTGCTGTTGATAAGAATATCTGGGACTAGTATATCAAATATTTTACCATCTATCCATTTTGCATATTTTGTATTTGGCCTTGGACATACTCACGAATTATGCCTCCTTGTAGTAATACCTATTCTATCGGGTCACATCATCTAGATCCCATACAAAGGTAGAGATAGACAAATTACAGTAATCCTCTTTCACTGAGAAATGTAACGCTGCCTGTATGGATTCTCCATATAGGTATATTGTGTGTGTGCATTCTTGGTTAAGCAATACTAACATGAAATCTACCCTCTTAACAAATATTGAAGTGCATAATATTGGCTGGGCGCGGTGGCTCAAGCCTGTAATCTTAGCACTCTGGGAGGCTGAGGAGGGTAGATCGCTCAAGGTCAGGACTTTGAAACCAGCCTGAGCAAGAGCGAGACCCCGTCTCTACTAAAAAAAAAAAAAGAAAATAGAAAGAAAGTAATTGGCCAACTAAAAATATATAGAAAAAAATTAGCTGGGCATGGTGGTGCATGCCTGTAGTCCCAGCTACTCGGGAGGCTGAGACAGAAGGATTGCTTGAGCTCAGGAGTTTGAGGTTGCTGTGAGCTAGGTTGACGCCATGGTACTCTAGCCCAGGCAACAGAGTGAGACTGTCTCAAAAATAAAAAAAAAAATTAAAAAAAAGAAGAAGAAGTGCACTGTGTTGCACGATGCTGTGTTGTTAACTGTAGGCACTATTCCATAGCAGATCTCTAGAACTTATTCATCTAGCATAGCTAAAACTTTATATCCATTGAACAACAACTCCCCATTTTTCCTACCCTAACCCCCTGGTAACCACTGTTGTATTCTCTGCCTCTACAAGTTTGACTATTATAGATACCTCATGTAAGTACTATCAGACAGTATTTGTTCTGTTTCTGGGCTTATTTCACTTAGAATAATGTCATCTAAATTCATCCATGTTGTCCCAAATGGCAGGATTTCCTCCTTTTTTATGGCTGAATTATATATATATATATATATATATATATAGAGAGAGAGAGAGAGAGAGAGAGAGAGAGAGGTATTTATGAGTAGAAATGTTGGGGAGGGGTGTTTTGAACCAGTCAGACACATAATAAGGATCATGCTGCATTGTATTTGGGCATAAATTACATAAAATTTTGTAGATGGATGATTCTGAGATCTAAATCCTTTATTTTGACAGCTCCTGAGAGAGAAGGTTGTTTGTATTGCTGCTGGACTGAGGCATGCATTAGCTGCTACAGGTGATCACTTTACCTTTATTTTTTAAATAGGCATGTAATGAGGAACTGAGCTTTAGGAGAAAAACCCTTTAAGAGGGTATTTCAAAGGGTCCTGCTGTGTTGTAGTTCTGATTAAAAGGAGGGAGTGTAAAGCAGGAGTCATGTGGGAAAGCCTTTAGCAGATATGGAGGAAGGAAATGAAGTTTTCTAGCTTCTTTTTGTTCTAGGCGTGGTGCTAGATTCTCTTGATTTGATTACCTCATTTAATCCTCATAACAAGGAAGTGATGTGAGTTCAATTTTTACATATGAAGAAACTGAGGCCCAGGCAGGTGAAAGCAAGGTTACACAAGGAGTAAGGTGGTAAAGGGTAGAGCTGGGAGCAGAGTCTGGGGTGGTTTGAATTCAAGACCCACATTCTTTGCAGTGAACTGTACTGCCTTCCTAGTGGATATTAATGTGTGTTAATTTAAAAGCTTCAAGTGAGCTTGTCTCCTGTACTGTGAGTGGGGGATGGGATGGACAATATGTATGTGAAGGGAAGCGGGGAGGTGGCATATGGGAGGGAAAAACTTTTATCTCCCCCTTTCATTTTTCTGCTCACACTCATTTTGGGCTGAAGGGCAGCACTAATTGGCTGTGACAGCTGAGGCTCATGTGCTTGGTGAGGTCAGTTGTGGAGTGGAGAAAGGGAAGAGGAGTTGAGGAAAAGTTCAGTGCAGCACTATGTATCCTGGGGCTTAGCATTGATCATGCTTTCTTTGAAAAATTAAACTTATTTTGAGATAATTGTAGATTCACATGTGGTTATAAAAAACAAAATAGGCCGGGCGTGGTGGCTCACGCCTGTAATCCTAGCACTTTGGGAGGCCGAGGCAGGCGGATTGCTCAAGGTCAGGAGTTCGAAACCAGCCTGAGCGAGACCCCGTCTCTACCAAAAATAGAAATAAATTAATTGACCAACTAAAAATATATATACAAAAAATTAGCCGGGCATGGTGGCGCATGCCTGTAGTCCCAGCTATTCGGGAGGCTGAGGCAGTAGGATCGCTGAGCCCCGGAGATTGAGGTTGCTGTGAGCCAGGCTGATGCCACAGCACTCACTCTAGCCTGGGCAACAAAGTGAGACTCTGTCTCAAAAAAAAAAAAAAAAAAAAAACCCCCGTGAGAGTTTCTCAATAAAAAAAAAAAAAAAAATAGACTCCGTGTGTTCTTTTCCTCATTTCCTGCAATAGTATCTTGAAAACTGTAGTACAGTAGTATAACCAGGATATCAGCATTGATACAGTTATGATTCAGAACAGTTCCATTACCACAGGACCCCTCATGTTACCCTTTTACAGCCACACCCACTTCCTACCTGCCTCCACCTCCTGCTTAGTCCTTGGCTAACCACTCTTCTGTTTTCCATATCTTTATGATGTTGTCATTTCAAAAATGTTATATAAACAGTGTCATAGAGTATATAACCTTTTGGGGTTGGCTTTTTTCACTCAGTATAATTCCCTAGAGATTCAACTAAGTTTTATGCATCAATAATGTGGTCCTTTTTACTGCTAGGCAGTATTCTATGGTTTGGATGTACCACTGTATTAGTTAGCCAGGGCTGTCATAACAGAGTACCATAGACCAGGAGGCTTAAACCATGGAGATTTATGTTCTCACCATTCTGAAGGCTAAAAGACTAAGGTCAACATGCCATGAGAATTGGTTTCTGGAGGCCTTTCTTCCTGGCTTGTAGATGACCACTTTCTTGCTGTGTTTGCACATGGCCTTTTCTCTGTGCTCCTGTGGAGAGAGAAAGACCTCTGGGGTCTCTTCCTCTTCTTGTAAGGACACCAGTCCTATTCGGTTAAGGCCCCACATATATGTCCCCCTTTACCCTTTGTCACCTCCTTATGGCTCATATCTACAAATCTAGTCACACTGGAGAGTAGGGCTTCAACATAGGAATTTTGAGGGGACACAGTTCAGTCTACACCAATCACAGTTTGTCATCCACTGAAGGACATTTGGGTTGTTTCCAGTTTTTGGCTATTAAGAATATAGCTACTATAAACATTTGTGGATAGGTTTTAATGTGAACATAAATTTTCATTTCTCTGGGATAAATGCCCAGCAGTGTGATTGCTGAGTTGTGTGGTAGTGATTACATTTTATAAGCAGATTCTTCTCAGAATTCAGCAGCACAGGAGAAGTGGCTGCCATTGGTTTACTTCCTCCTTTCCTACCAACTTTTTGTAATTGCTAGTTTTTTTGTTTTAAACAGCTTTAATGAGGTATAATTGCTGTATAAAGAACTGTACATATTTAATGTATACAATTTGATGAGTTTGGACATACACAGGTACCTCTGATACCATCATCACAATCAAGGTAATAGACATATCCAGTATCTCTACAAATTTCCTTGTATCCCTTTTTTTTGGTGGCATGGCGGAAACACTGTAACATGAAATCTACCCTCTTAACAAATATTGAAGTGCATAATATTGGCTGGGCGCGGTGGCTCAAGCCTGTAATCTTAGCACTCTGGGAGCGAGAGAGTAGATCGCTCAAGGTCAGGACTTTGAAACCAGCCTGAGCAAGAGCGAACCCCGTCTCTACTAAAAAAAAAAAAAAAAAAAGAAAATAGAAAGAAAGATTGGCCAACTAAAATATATAGAAAAAATAGCTGGCAGGTGGGCATGCCTGTAGTCCCAGCTACTCGGGAGCTGAGACAGAAGGATTGCTGAGCTCAGGAGTGAGGGTTGTGAGCTAGGTGACGCCATGGTACTCTAGCCCAGGCAACAGAGTGAGACTGTCTCAAAATAAAAAAAAAAAATTAAAAAAAGAAGAAGAGTGCACTGTGTTGCACGATGCTGTGTGTTAACTGTAGGCACTATTCCCATAGCAGATCTCTAGAACTTATTCATCTAGCATAGCTAAAACTTTATATCCATGAACAACAATCCCCCATTTTCCTACCTAACCCCTGGTACCCTGTTGTATTCTCTGCTCTTACAAGTTTGACTATTATAGATACCTCATGTAAGTACTATCAGACATATTTTCTGTTTCTGGGCTTATTTCACTTAGAATAATGTCATCTAAATTCATCCGATGTGTCCCAAATGGCAGGATTTCTTCTTTTTTTTTTTTTTGAGACAGAGTCTCGTTGTTGCCAGGCTAGAATGAGTGCCGTGCGTCAGCCTCGCTCACAGCAACCTAAACTCCTGGGCCTCAAGCAATCCTCGTGCCTCAGCCTCCGAGTAGCTGGGACTACAGGCATGCACCACCATGCCCGGCTAAATTTTTCAATATGTTAGTTGACCATTAATTCTTCTATTTATAGTAGAGACAGATCTCACCTTGCTCAGTTGTTTTCAACTCCTCAGTCAAATGATCCACCCGCGTCGGTCCCCAGAGAGCTAGGATTACTGGCCGTGAGCTCAGCCTGTGGCTGATTTCTTCCTTTTTAAAGCTAAATAATATTCCATTGTATATGTCTACCACGTTTTTTTTTACCCATTCATCTGTTGATGGATAGTTGGATTGTTTCCACATCTTTGCTTTTGTGAGTAATGCTGCAATGAACGTGGGAGTACAGATATTTTTTTGAGATCCTGATTTTAACTCTTTTAGATACATATCCAGAAGTAGGATCATATGGTAGTTCTATTTTTAATTTTTTGAGGAACTTTCTTACTGTTTTCCATAGCATCTGTACCATTTTTCATTCTCACCAACAGTATATGGGGGTCCCAATTCCTTCACATCCTTGCCAACAATTATATTTTTATTTATTCATTTTATTTTTTAAATTTCAAAATATTAAGGGGGTTCAGAAGTTTTTGTTACATGAGTACCCTCTATAATGCTGAAGTCAGTGCTTTCAGTGTGCCAGCCACCAGGACAGTGTTCATTGTACTCAATAGGTAAGTTTTTATCCTTCACTCCCTTCTTAGTTTCCAATGTCCTTTACATCTTTTTGGGCCCATGCACACCCATCATTTAGCTCCCACTTATAAATGAGAGCAAGTGGTGTTTGTTTTTATATTCCTGAGATACTTCACTTATGATAATGGTGTCCATTTCCATCCAAGTTGCTGCAAATGACATTATTTCATTCCTTTTCATGTCTGAATAGTACTACACACACACACACACACACACACACACACACACACACACACACACACACACACTACATTTTCCTTACCTAATCATGAATTGATGGGCACTTAGGTTGATTCCATATCTTTGCAATTATGAATTGTACTGTGATAAACATTCAAGTGCAGATTTTTTTTGACGGAATGATTTCTTTTCCTTTGGGTAGATACCTGGTAGTGGGATTGCTGGATCTAATGGTAGGTCTTTTAGCTCTTTGAGGAACCTCCATACTATTTTACATAGAGCTTGTACTAAATTGCAGTCCTACAAACAGTGTATAAGCATATCTTTTTCTCTGCATCCATGCCAGCATCTGTTGCTTTTTGACTTTTTAATGATGGCCATTCTGACAGGGTTAAGGTGGTATCTCATTGTGGTTTTAATTTGCATTTCTCAGAGGATTAGTGATATTGAACATGTTTTCATATGTCTGTTGGCCAATTGTCTATCTTCTTTTGAAAACATTCTGTTCATGTCTTTTGCTGGGGTTTGTTTTTTTCTTGCTGTTTGTTTGAGTTCTTTTGTAGATTCTGAGTGTTAGTCCCTTGTCAGATATGTAGTTTGCAAATATTTTTTCCCATTCTGTAGGTTGTCTATTTACTCTGTTAATTATTTCCTTTGTTGTACAAAAGCCTTTTAATTTAATTAAGTCCCATTTATTTATTTTTGTTGCTGTTGTATTTGCCTTTGGGGTCTTAGTTATCAATTCTTTGCCTAGAAGAGTTTTTCCTACATTTTCTTCTAGAATTTTTGTAGTGTCATGCCTTACATTTAAGTCTTTAATCCATCTTGAATTAATTTTTGTATGTGGTAAGAGATGGGATCCTGTTTGGCTTTCCAGTTTTCCCATCACCACTTATTGAATAG